TTCCCCAGCCAGCACAGCTGGCTGGGGAATTCTGGGAGTTGAAGTCCTCCAGCCTTCAAGTGGCCAAGGTTGGAGACCCCTGATCTAAAGGAATCGGTGAATCCATCCGTTGTTGAGTGAATCCAGCTCCCCACATTGACTCTTGCTTCTCGGACGCCGCCTGGGAAGATTCCCAAAGGACCAAATTCAATGGCAGGTGGCCAAACACTTGAATTTTGATCACCTGGCCGACAGCCGTGGGGTTGCTTGTAAGCGCTAAGTCGTTTTCCCAGCGCTGTTGTGAGTTTGCACGGTGGCAAAATAGCCCAGATAGTATCTAGCCTTACTAGATACGCTTCTCTCTGCTTCTCTCTGTTCATTGCCAGCCTTAAGGGCTAGAAACTTGAATTTAAAAGGACTGGCACGAACAGGAGAGAAACGGCTTCTTAAAAGTTTGCTCAGGATACAGACAGCGTGTCAGCGATTATCCCTTGTTTTTAATGGCATTATTCGCCTGGTTTATATATTTAATATTTAACAAGATTTAGTTTATTTATTTAACAATGCGCTATTTAAATACGCTTAATGCCTTTAAATACTTCCTGCCTCCTGTTGCTGTCACAGCAATAACAACAATAAACTTCTTTGCAACTGTAGGCAAAACAGTTTAACCAGAGAGCCGCATTTCAAGTAAAGCCTTCTTTTTAAAACGGACAGACAGACAAAAGAAAATGAATCGTTTTTCAGGATGCAATTATGCATTTTATTTATTTTAAAAGGGACGCCTTAGCAAAACAATGCATTCAAAACAACCAGACGGAAGGGAAGTGAAAAGCAACAGGCCGCCTACCTGGTCAACTCTTCTTTCAGATGACCTGGATCCACTGGGAAAAATTTCACCATAAATTTGAAAAGAATGTCCTTAGGATCTTAAAACACAACATCTTCATAAGTTTGGTTTCAAAAGTCTGTCGGGAACATTTTCACACATCTTTTCATTTGAAAAGCGGCTCTTTTTTCACTAAAGACACCCCACCCCACCCCAAGCCCAGCCATTCCCACCGGCCCCCCTGAGAAGGATCCCTCCGTCCCTGGTTCTTCCATTGCAGGGGATCTCCAACCTTGGCAACTTTAAAGATTCATGGACTTCAACTCCCAGAATTCCTTGCTGGCTTGGGAGTTCTGGGAGTTGGAGTCCTCCGTCTTCAAGGAGCTGAGACTGAGAAGCACTCGTGTCTCTGAAAACATGCAGGTTTCTGAGGATTTTTTCCACCCAGGACGTTGCATTTTTCTATTCCCCTCCCACCCTCTTTTCTTTGACCCATCCCTTGAAGGGGGGGGGGGGGGGGGGGGGGGTGTCTCTGCAAAGAAATTTGCTTATCATCTGCCTTATGAAGCTCTCCAGTCCTAAAATCCATGGAAGGCAATACTCAGATGGGGATTTTATCCTCAGCTCTTAATACTCACAAAAGCAAAAAGTAAGACACCCCCCCCTCCTGGGTCTCCACCTCCAGGTCAATGCCCGTTAAGAAGTCCCCAAACTGGCAATGGAAACCATTATTTTGGGCAATTAATTGGCCCTCTTACATATTGTTTTCATGAGGGGTTCCTGGTGCCCTCTGAGCTTGGTTGTTTTCTTGCAGACATTTCATGACCCAACTAGATAATATCATCAGTGCTATAAAGGAATGGGGTTGTGGGGGAAGAGGGGGAGGAGAAGGAGGACTGTGGGGTCCTTGGTGCCCTCTGAGCTGGGTTGTTTCCTTGCAGACATTTCATGACCCAACTATGGAACGTCATCAGTGCATTAATGATGTTACCCAGTTTGGTAGTGAAATGTCTGCAAGAAAACAACGCAGCTCAGAGGGCACCAAGCACTTCACAGTCTTTTTTTTCCCTCCTCCTCCTCCTCCTCCTCCTCTCTCTCTCTCTCTCTCTCTCTCTCTCTCTCTCTGTCTCTGTCTCTCTCTCTCTCTCTCCAACCCCCCCCTCCTTCTAGCACTGATGATGTTCCCTAGTTGGGTCATGCACTGTCTTTCAGAAAACCAGAGTGCTCTAAGGACCATACAACCCTCTTCCTCCTCCTGCTGTTACCTAGTTGGGTCATGAAACGTCTGCAAGAAAACCACCAAGCTCAGAGAGCACCAAGGACCCCCCTCACTTCGACCCTGAGCTTCCAATATTCCCCTTGGTTGAGATGGTTTTCACTTGCCCATTGGCGGCGGCTGGGTGTCTCCAGAAGCCCCTCCTGCCCCACCCAGGGGTACCCAGGCATCCCTCCCTCAGCCAGCAGCAAGGAAGTCTAGTTGGCTCCCCGCCTCCACCTCTGCCTTCTCCAAGGTACTTACTTTTAATCTGCTTTGTGATGGGCTTGAGAAGTTCCAGCCAGGCCTGCAAGAGAGAGGAAGGGCAGCCAATTGTAGCGGGGGGCGGGGGGGGGACACTAGCAAATGGTTGGTCAGAGGCCTGGTGAGGGTCTGTGGGAGATAGTCAATTCGGGGCCCACTTAGCAGAAGACACCCTTTCACACAAGGAACAGAGACGGGACTTTCTCAGAATTTCTCTTCCAGAACCTGGACTGAGCCAACCGCCCTCCCCTCCAACTGGCTTGGGCCCTTTGGGGAAGGGAACGCCCACTGCAAGCCAGGAGATGCCCCCCCAAGACCCCTTTAGCTTCTGCCCACTTCAGCAACATCGCCGGAGTTCAGCTTCTGACCCCTTTCAGAGGGGGGGGGGACGACCCATGGAAACGGGTGTGTCTAAAGCAAGTTTAATGCAATTTTAGCAGCCCCCCCTCAGCAGCCTTTCACTCCCCACATGCTAGCCCCATGTGGCATCCTTACAGAAACAGCCCCCCAGAGGTTAGGGTCATTCCCCGCTCCTAAACTTACAGCATGCCCTGCAGAGCTCCAGAACTCCAGTCCAAAATATTCCTTTTCTGCCAGGTTCAAATGGTTGCAGCTGAGGTTAAATAATGTTTTCCCACAGGACTTTTGCTAAAGGGCCAGAAAGAGAAGGAAGGAAGGAAGGAAGGAAGGAAGGAAGGAAGGTAGAATGGAGAGAGAGAGAGAGAGGCAGAGATAAACAAAGTTATATGCCAAAGAAAAAGGCAGAAGCATCATGTCTCCGATTTCCACAGTCTCTGCTTTCTTCAGTTTGCTCAGGGTCGAGCCTGAGAAGGGTTGGAGTAAAAAGGGGGTGTCTCTTTTTTAATGCTTCCACCTCATTTCCTAGCACTACTGCAGCTCCATAGCTCCAGTTATTAACCAAACTTAGCTCACATTGAAAAGCCTAAGAAAGGGCCAGGATGGGAGACCACAAGGTGACTCCACAGGGAAGGTGAAAAATGGCCCAGAAGATGATGCCCAGAAAATGACACGAACATGGGTATGAAACCCTAGGAAGGGAAGCCAAACTCCTGGCAGATATTTCCTTCAAAAAGGTGGGTCTTTATGGAACTCTTCCAAATTTGTGATGGAGCAGAGACCATTCCCAAGTGACTTAATCGAGAGTGGGCTTATTATAGCGTGAATTGTGTCTTTGAACTTGAGAGATACTTGCAAGAGTTGGATTTTTGAAACAAGCTTCAACCAGTGTGTTTGCCAGATGCCAAAAATTGACCAAGAAGTCTTGGTTAACTCAATTGTGCCACACTCTATTCAGGCCTGACTTCTCAGTTGACAAGAGCCAGTGTGGGAAAGCCAGGGCAGTCTTAATTAAGCAGAACAAACCAGGCAGTAATTAAGGCTAATTAAGCAGCAATAAGCTGGAAGAGTGATAAAGTTAAATACTTGATTGTTCCAGAGATTTTGAAATTTCGAGGTAATTTCAGAACTATAAACATTTCAATCTTTGATAAACCAGTGCTACACCATCTTCCCAGGCTGTTTTTCAGGCATGTTGCAGGTTCCAAAACTGCAAAGGTGGGAATTCTTAGGACATACCTGAAGTCTCCCAAATCATGGTAGGTTTTATTTAGATACGAGAAATCCTGTTTATGCCAAAGTTGCATGCTTGCACACTTATTAAATTATATTGGCATCCCACTTTAATTAGTTCCATGCCACTCATTTCTACTTCCAGATTTCAAATGGGAGAAAATATAAAAATTAAAAAAAAACCAAACTATGTTAGGAAAAAGCTTACACTGTACAAAAGTTCTGTTTGGGAAAAGTATAAGCGATATATTCTACTGAAGAAGTTTGTTTCTAAAGATGGTGTACATTATACAAAATCGGTAACAAATATATATACTTTAAATTAAATATTTAAATCTATATTTAAGATATATATGATAGAAATAGATGATAGATATAGATTATATAGATGATAGAGATATAGATGACAGATGATAGATATGATAGATATAGATGATAGATGATAAATATAGATGATAGATGACAGATGACAGATGATAGATATAGATGAGAGATGATAGAGATATAGATGATAGATATAGATGATAGGTAGATAGATATAGATGATAGATGATAGAGATATAGATGATAGATGATAGATAGATGATAAATAGATAGATATAGATGATAGATGATATAGATTAGAGAGAGAGAGAGAGACAGACAGACAGACAGACAGACAGATCTCTGAGTGGAATAAAAATAGATTTACACATTTCTGATGTACACTAGAACTAGAAATGGTGCTTTATCCTCAGGAAACTAAGCCGTCTCTTGGAAGTTCCTGGCTGGACTGGGGTCAGTGGGCCAACTGCTCCTGGCATCCATCCAGAGGCACCTGTGCTCTGACTTGGGCTGCCAGGGGAATGGAGGGGTTGCTGACACGCCGTGCATTGTGCTCGGTGCGAAAGCGAGCCTGCTAACATCTGACAGATAATCCCTCGTTGCAGTCACGAAGGCTTAAATTGCTACCCTGGTACCAAAGAGGCAACTAGGGAAATGACAGGGTAATCACTGCCTTTTCTGGAGGGAGGGGGGGGGGGAGAGAAAGGCGTCCTATTTCCTTACAAACAGCTGAATGGCAACAGCAATTAAAGCAATTATCGCTGTTTATTCCTCCTGCTGCAGGGTTTGGGAGCTCAAGAGAGATCAGCCAGGGACTTGGAAAGAAAGAGCCTGAACTGAGGTGATGATGCTTCTGTGCCTGGGAACGATGCTCTTTTCATCTCTCTTTGAGATGCTTGCAACATCCAAGGTGTAGCAGGTGTCAGGTGAGGGTAAGCCCCCAAATCAGGAGGGGATCTGGAAGCACCTTTTCTGATTAACACACTTGACTCAAAGACAGGGAAGCACCTAAACTGCAGCTGTTCGTCCTGATTATTTGCATTATCTGACCGGTGCATTTATGGTTGTGGCTCTTGGGTGTTCGTGTGTGTGTGTGTGGGGGGGGTTTCTCAACCTTGGCAGCTTGAAGATGGGAGGACTTCAACTCCCAGCTGGCTGAAGAATCTTGGGAGTTGAAGTCCTCCCATCTTCAAGCTGCTAAGGTTGAGTGACACTGGCTGGGGAATCCTGGGAGTTGAAGTCCAACCAACTTCAACTCTAACAGAGGACAACCTGCCCCTCTCTGGGTCCTGGATTTCCTTCTTCTCCTGCAACATTAGGCTGTTTCTCCTACCATTCAATCCGAAGCTGCCTTCTTGCAAATTAATCTTTGTATTTTGTGCACGAATCTTTGAAGGAGCCTAGACTTTCTCATAAGATGATACATGAACCCCTTCATACCATTAAGGCAAGAAAAGGGCACTCTCCTCACTCTGCTCTTTGCTCTCTCCGGGCAGAATTTGTTAAAATTCCTTCTGTTTACTGACCTTGAAATCCACTTAATAGACTTCCAGCTCATCCCACTGGTTCTGTTATCAAGAGCCTGTTTAAAAGAATCAGTTGGAAAAGTCACCCTAGGCTATCTCTCTTTCTCTCCTTTTTTGTTTTTTTAAATTCCAGGACATTATTGTGACTGTTTGACATCAAATGCATCGCGTGCCTGGAAGGTATTCTGGAGGTTTTGAAAAGAACTAGCCCAACTCTGGGCTTTAATGGAGGTTATTTCTTGCAGCAAGATGGCCTATAAAGCTAAACCCGAGAAGCAAAGTGGCAGGAGGGTGAATTGGAAAGGAAGGAAGTGAAAAATGCTGAATCTGAAATTAAAATAGGGGGGAAATTGATCCCACAAAAAGTAGGGTTTCATGATTACAAGCCAGAAATCCCAGTTTCAAGGTAGACTTAACATAGCTCTGCCTCTCAGTTTCCAAGGGCTTCTGAAGTATAAATCTTAAAATATTTGGCATCAAGAACAGCCTATCAAGATGAATATTAGTTTTAAAAAAGCTAAATTATTTTGCACATGGTCCATTCTGTGTACTTTTAGAACTAAAACCATCAATATTGTTGTGCTGTTCTTACTCAATGTTGCTTCTTTAAAACATGTATGAAGCAAAAATTCAACTGCAGTTTGATTCCAAAATGTATGTTTTTGTTGCCTGGAAGATTTCATTTTGAAACAGACCCCTTTAACTTCTGAAAGATATTTCTGTCTGCCAGAGAGCTTTCAGAAAGATCTGTCCTTTAGATAAAGGTATTGGATAATTCCAATTTTAAGTATAAGGCAAACACCATGTTTATAAAATGCATCAATGCTAATTTTACAATAAGTTGTCTCAATGATAACTATCATTTTGACTCACTACAATTCTGTGATTTTAGCTGTCACAAAACCTCTTTTTCGGCACCTGCATCTAATTCACTCTTTGGAACGTTACTTTTATAGAACAAATGATGTGGGAGCTAATGTATAAAATGACTATTTTTAAAATTCTTAACAATTTGGGGATTACAATTCAAAATGGAGGGTCTTTAAACATTAAAATGACTTATTTAACACCAGATAAAACCATAACCCTTCTCAAAAAGGGTCTTGAATTCTAGGGATATTTAGTCAAGTCAAGTCCTTACTGTGAATTAGCAATTGTTCAAAATGTGGGGAGATGCAGGCATCTAATTAATTTTTTTTTAAAAAAAGAACTGAAATCAAAACATCACCCAGTCCAAGAAGGTCAAACAAATCCCAGCAGGCAAAATAACAGAGAAGAAGCGGCGAATATACTTACATCAACCACAAAGATTTTCTGAGAGTCATCCAGAAACTGGACTTTGAGATGAAGCATCCTTAGGTGAATGGCTCAGCAGCCAGCGAGGATGAGCTTCTCCGCAATCTGAAGGGAGGGAGAGCGTCCTCCGATTCATACAGGATTTTATTCTTGGTTGGAGAAGAACAGGAGCCCGGAGTGCAGACTCTTTGCGAAGGGGCAGAAGAGCAGAAGACCAGAAGGGAAGATGGAGGAGATACGGCAACCATCACAAAACCGGAAAAGGTTTCCTTTTGTTCACGCCTTTTCCCGTGTTCCCCTCTTTTCTAAGTTCCTCCTTGCAGAGAGGCTAAAATATTCTCCCCGGAACAAAGAAATAAGAGATTGTGTTGCGTGTTACCCAGAACCAGGTTTCCTCCAGAGCTGATCCATCTGTCCTCAAGATGGAAAGACAAGCAATGGCCTGGGATGGGAACGGCCTTCTCTTCATTTTTAAAGTTTAGAACTGTGTTAGTTCAGAATTTGTAGGGTTTCTGCATCTGTCTTTTAAAAATATCCTTTTCCCTTGACGTTTAGGCCAGTGTGATCAAATAGGACAGGGCTGAGTGTAGGAATCCCCTTGGAGAACCACCTCTACATGTGCAGATGGGCTCTTAGTAAGAGAAGAGTAATCTGCTTGCAAGTGGCAATTATAGAGAATTTGGTTTCCTTTCTCATCCGTTTTTGGGTCCCCCCCTTAAAAACCTTATCCCTGAATTGGACCTACCAATACCTGTGGCAACTCTAAAATGACCAACTGGTGGTTGGCTTGTATCCACTCCCAATATCTGTCCGTGTTGCATTTCACTTCATGGTCTTAACAATATCTGGGGGGAAAAGAATAAGGAATCTCAACACCCTGAGCTGTACACCATCTACAAAATCATGTACGCAGAAGGATCTAGCATGGCTCTGAGATGTAACTCCTAACGCCGAAAAGCTTTTCGAAATAATTTTGGATCACAGGCTGGCCGAACCTCAGCCTGCCATGACTTCCTTCAACCTTGTCAGGAAGATCTAAGCATCTTTACAAAACGATTCATTTGTACAAAGCAGTTCATTTTAGTGACCATTTAAAAGACTCTAAAAAAAAGTAACATGACTATTTTCACACTTACACCATTTCACACATTGCAACATCCCCACAGTCACAGGATCAGAATTCAAACTCTTGACAACTGACTCTTATTTATGACGGTTGGAGTGTCCCAGAGGAGTTACGTGGTGCCCTTTTGCGACCTTCTGACCAGCAGTCAGCAGTCAGCGGCCAGGTAGCTTGATTTCCTTTCTGTTCTTTTCTCTGATGTGATGGAACGGCCACCATTGGCTTGGAAAGAGCACCATCTCCTGGTTGCGTTGAAATGCTAACTTTCCACTTCAATTGTATTTCACAACCATTGCATTGCATGTTGGCATGGCTAGTTGTACCCAACGGGCTTGGCCTCCTGCTGTTATATGCCAGGGAAAGGCAACCCTTGCTTGAGGAAAAGGATGGTTTGAAGAACAAGGAGCCAATCCATGCCGTAACGTTTCCACCCTTAAAAGCCTGAAGGGCTTTTATTTTGATGTGGCTTTGTATACATCCAAGGAAAAGTTTGGGAAAAAATAATTTCCCCAACTCTCATTTATTAATAGCACCACAGGGTTGACCCAGCTGGAGCGAGGAAAATTCCTGCTCCAGAGTGGACCACCAGACCTTCAGTGTGCAGGAGATGTGGAGGAACATAAGTAGTGCTTTTCTTTTGAGGATTTTTGAGCTGAAATCCCTTTTCCTGTGTTGCTTTTTATTACAACCACCACCCCACAATGAAGTTGTTGGCCCTTGAGGAACAAATCATGGGGGAACCTAAGAGCTGAAGGCCAGAAAGTCCATCAAGACCTCCCAGAAGGAAGCGAGGGCAAATCACGCCTGCGTTGTGGCACAGAAAGATGCTGGATGGTCTCTCATTGTGGGAATTGACCTCCTCTCCTCTCCTCTCCTTTCATACCTTTGATCAGGGGTTCCCCAAACTTGGCAGCTTTAAGATTTGTGGACTTCCAACTCCCAGAATTCTCCAGCCAGCTATAAGTTTGGAGACCTCTGCCTTTGATAGTTCAGGTGGCAACATCGATTTGACTCTCTTCCTGTTCTGCTCCCTGGAGTGGAAGGATCCCCCTACCTCAGAGACCCCCAAACTTGGCAACTTTTAAAACTTGTGGACGTCAACTCCCAGAATTCTGGGAGTTGAAGTCCACAAGTCTTAAAGTTGCCAAGTTTTGGAGAAGACCTCTGCCTTTGAGAGCTCAGGGGGCAACATCCAATCAACCTTGAGTGTCTTCAGAAGCTCAACAGGACCAGTTAGCACTTAGGGGGAGAGTTATTTGGGGATTTGGGGTTATTGGTAAGACCAGGAACTAAAAAATAAAAATAAATTCACCAGCAAACTAAATCACTTCCTTATCATTGCCAAGAACTCTTCATGGATGTGCCCATCAGGTCCAACTGGGAGGGTATTTGTTCTCGTTGCTCAATCGGTTCCATGTGTGTCCCTCGGTGGCATCAAAGCAGGGCACCTCTTGGAGGGACGGGCAGGTTCCTGAGGCCTTCTTCCTCACACACACGGCTGAGCCCCGTTTCCTTCCGTTCTGCCATCTCAAGAACCAAAGTAAACGCAGAGGGAGCTCTTGAATCCGGCCTTAACTCAGCCTCAAAACTCAGGTGGGGCCCTTGCTATCCGCAGGGTGGCTGTGTGGACGAGCCGGATATACGCACAGAGCTTGTGTGTGTGGTCTGGAAGAAGAACTAGCTGAAGATGGGGGTTTTTTTTTGTAGAAGAAGCGATAAAGGAAATCACACTTCCGTTTCACGCACAGGTGGCTCCCACTCTTCCTCGTCTCTGCAGATCTGGAGTTCACTTGGCGCAGAGGAGGAAGGCTTGCAAGCCACTTGCGGCCCCCTATAGAAGGTGTGCCACCCTGGGCCTTGCCCCCACCCGAGAGCAAAGGCGGTTGGTGCCCATTTCCTGGCAGGTTGGAGAGCGAGAGAGAGAGACCACAAACTCAGATAGGCAGGAGCCAACTTAAGGAGGCTGCTGCTTTCCCTTGTAGCAACTCTGAACTTAGCTGAAAAACCACAGATGAGTCTTCTCCAAGCCATTTGTGGCCATGCCTCTCAAGACCCCTGCAGCCAGCCTTGGGAAAGAGTTTGGGGTGACCAAGAAGGGACCCCACCACTTCAGAAGTAAAAAGCAGAAATAATAAGCATCCTCGGACATAATTAAAATGACAATACATCATGCAATTTGTAGAATTATTACATGTTTTAATAATGTCCCACCCAACATGTTAGAGGGCAAGAAGAAAAGGAATATTCTAAGATTTGGGACTTATTTTATCAATGGCTACCTAGAAGAGTAAGAAATTGAACTATACTGCAATAGTAATGATATTATTATTTTTGAATGTTACATTATGAATATAATTTAGTAAGAATTGAGACTTGCTTTTAAAGATAGCCTGAAATTGAAATTAAAACTTCAAAGATAGCATAATAATGATATGATATGGAATGCTGATTAGAATATAATATGAATGTAAAGTCAAGAGAAAAGGATTACAGATATTGTGCACACGAGATATGTACCAAACCGACACATTGTACAATTGAAAGAAGGGTTTTTTGTTGTTGTTTTGTCTGTTATAAAAATAAAAAACTTAAAAAAAATGTCTCACCCTTCTGGTACATGAAAAATGACCCATGTGGTCCTTGTGTCCCAGAAGCAAAACTACAGGCTCGGATTGTCACAGCTGCCACAAATGTCAACCGTGGCTCAGTAGAGATTCTGTTGGTGGTTCTAAGGAATTCCTGGTTGATTTTTCAAAAGGATGATGGTTTGCTATAATCTGGGTTTTCACATTGGGTGGTAGCCATGAGGTGAAGGTCTTGCCAGTTATGGTACAGTAGGGAGATTAAATAATCATCATCATAATCTTTTAATGACCCCATAATCCCTTGCATTGGGGTGGAGTCTGCGCAACTGAATGGAGCTAGCAGAGTGTTTACTGGCCGGATGCCCTTCCTGTCACCAGGGCAGAGTTCTATTCAGCAGATACATTCTCATTGTGCCCAGAGAGAGAAATATCTGCCTCTACTTAGTATCAAACTCATAGCCTCCTGGTTGTGAGACGAGAGCTCCACCTCTGGGCCATCACACCACTCCTAGTGGGGAGATTAAATGGGAGAATCCCATCCAAATTCAATTGTTTTGAGATCTCTCTCCCCTCCCCCCACAATTTGTAGGTCTTTTTTTTCTCGTTTTATTCCTGACTGAGAAACTCGGGTGGAGCACTTGCAATCTCACGACAATCTGTTGTGGAGCTAAGCCGGATGCATGCCCAGAGCTCGTGCTCGAAAGAAGAACAAGTCGAAGATGGTGTGTATGCGTGTGTGTGTTTTTTTAGAAGCGATAAAGGAAACAAGATTTCCGTTTGGTCGTCGGCTCCATCCCTCCCTTCTTCATCGGTTGCAGATCTAAAGTGCAGATCATCCAGTCCCACCCCCCCACTCCGTCCTTGACTTCTTCTCCCCTAAGTGCAGTGGTGTGGAGGGCCTTCCTCAATTTCTCCAGCTGGTCCTCTCCCAACACGGCCTGGCTGAGCAAGGGCCAAGCTGTCCCCAAGCGCGTTGGAGGTGCCCAACTGCCTTCCGAGGTCCTGGTTGGCCGATGGTCCCCATACGAATTCAGTGAGGCCTCCCCTAATCACAATGGAGGGACAAAGCTTTTGGCCATCAGGTCTACCTCTGTCTTGGGGTGTGAGGAGAACCGGTCTAGTTGGGAAGCCTGACAAGGAGAGGCGGTCTAGATGGCAGAATCCCTTCAGGACGAGGCCCAAACTATCCCCAAAACCACGTTTATCTCCACCCTCCTCTTCTTTCCGAGTTATTATAAGGCAACAGAAGAGTGTTGTGTCGTTCTCATGGGTCACATCCCCAAAATAGGGCCAGGGAAAGGAAGAGAACTGTCCTGAGCGCATGAGTTACAGTTGGCTTGATTAACATTCAGTCTAACTACTCTCAGAGTATTTCATCATCTTCCCCTAAAGTAAAAAATTGGGAGAACTTCTGAGGGCTTCGTACAACTCTAGAAGCTGAAATTGTGCAGCAGACTCAAGAGGTTGCAGTGTTAGCCGAAGGACAAGATGGGCGTATTCCCAACACCCATATTATGCTGCACAGAAGCTAACCTGCATGACAGCGAAAGCCACAAAACCACTCTTCCCCCGTAGCTAAATCAGGAAAGAGAGGAAACCGCTTTTGGTAATACAGGTATCTATTTTATTAAAAAAGTTACAAACAGCTCGACTGTAGGGCTGTCTTACAAAATAAGAATGAATGAAAGTGGAAGGGCGAGGAGAGAACAGAAAAAATATGGCGGTTCACCTTTACAAAGCATTTGATCATCGTCCTGGTTTTACAACTTGCCAAATTTTCCAGACTTTTTTTTTATTTATTTCTACTTTTCCCCAAGAAAAGAGGTACAGTACATTTGATTAACTGAATTAAACCGTGAGAACATTCAGGCAGAAGAGGGCTGGGGTGCCACATCCAGGAAGGGGATGCCACACGCAGCCCCGGGAAGGAATCGCTCCCAACAAGGGCTGGGTTCGGGCACCTGGCTGGCCACCCCGCCACACCCACCAGAGCACCATGTGGCTTCCCGCTGTGCAATGTGGAGAAAGAGGCGAGTCCTCCCCCTTCCTCAGATTCATCACCTGGGATCTTGGCCCAAAGACTTCATGATTCAACCAGGGCAAGTGGGACAAATGTCCCAGCGCCTTCTCAGTTGGACCAGAAGTGGCCCTTGTGCAGCTCCAGAGTCTTCCTGGAATCCAGGGCCGGGGGGGGGGGGGGGGGGGGGGGAGGCCTGAATTTGAACCTTGCAATAAACTTAACGACCGGGAAGGCTGCCGTTCTTAAATGGGCAGGGCCCCCCCTCCATTCCAAACTGCAGCAGCTGCCCAAGTCAGATGCCAAGCTCTTTGCCGTCCCCAACTCCAATTGAGAAAGAAATTGGAATTTTCTTTTTTATATATATATATATATATATCAAAAGGTCAACCAACAGAGAAGTTTAAGCAATGTGTCCACCACTGAAGAACTAAGGTACAGTCACTGTGTGAATTCTGTCAATTCCCTTGGCACGCCTGATACTTGGCCAACGTTAAAGAGCACTGCAAAAACAGGGCTTCTTCACGCCTGGAGACTTCCGTTAAAGTGCGAGCCTAACTTTTGACTTCACTGCAAAATTTTGAACGGAGAGATGAAAACCCCGGGAAGGCTCGGGGGGTTAAAAGGCCCAGCATGCTAACCGCCGACGGCCAGATAGATTTAAGGATGAAATTTGGTCGAAGTCAAGATACACGGTCAAAGGACTTCAGGTGCACATTTATTCCCTGCCTGGAGGGGAGAGAAGACACCCCAACTTACATCAGTGCCAAGGAAAAGGTCTCTCACAGTTGTGGTGCTGCTAACACTTCCACCAACGCTCTCTCTTCCGTCTGCTCAAAACCCGGGTTCTTCTTCGAAGACCGCAACGAGTTACACACTGCAGTTTTTCGGGGAAAATGGGGGCCGTGGAAGGCCAAGGCTCCTGTTGCTTTGCTTCCTGGCCTCAGCAACCAACCAAGGCTGCCTCCAACAGAAACCAACAAAGCAAGCGAGGGAGCTCTGAGCCAGGCCAACTCGTGCATTGCTTCAATGGTTTTGGACAGAAACAATTAAAAAAAAAAGCCTAAAGTCCTTTTTTTTTTTTGTTCCTTTGCCAAAGTGTCGCCTTAAATCCTATGGGAGAAATCTCAAGTTGAGGTTTGCTTTGGAACACAACCTAAGACACACTGTCCATTTTCCAAGGAAAAAGGTTTTCCAGCCTTTGGAAGATGAATGTAATAAAGCAGATGAACGAGTGATTTTTCAACACAGCCTTTTCTTTCAAAAGAAGAACAAAACAAACCCCAAACCCAAATAACCATATAACAACAGAGAACACACATACAAATTCCTGGATGTCTCCAGTCCCCACCAGGCCAATCACATCAGGCCACCACAGCTGCTGAGAAAAGGGATGTCGCATCCTCCCGCCAGGCCATTCTTAAACATCCTTCTAGGACACCATCACATGTAAACAGACAGAATGTTTCCAAGTTCCAATCAATGACATTTTAGAGGAGAAGAAATCTTGTTTTCACTCTTTCTTTCTCTCTCTCTCTCTCTCTTCCTCTCTTTTGCAAATCAAGCACGGATGTGAGGTAATATACAGAAGTAACCATTTGTGTTTAAGGCTCACTTTTATTCTCCATTAATTTTTTTTTCTCTTAAAAAGGCATTGAGTAGGTAATACTGAGTTTAAAGTTTAATAAATACAAGATTTAGAAATCAATTAAAGAAATAAAATAGTTTAAAATGAACTTTTTTGCATATTAGCCATTAATAGGAACTTAGAAAGCTATTAAAAAAAAGAACACCCCAAGAGATCAAGAACAGATTCCCAAATCAAATGGTAAACATGCTAAGTGTTTGTAGCAGGCCCGTGCCGCTCCCTGGCTGCTCCTTTGCCTGTTTCACACCGGATGCCTGGAAAACGTGTGCTGAAGACCGAGACCAGGTTAAGCAAGGCTCAGTTCGGCAACCTGGGCTTAAAAAGAGTTCTCCAATGCAGCATCTGTGCAAATTTCCTCTGAGTTTTATCTGCAAGTAAGAGAAAGAAATCTGTCAGGGAGCCCCAGGTCCCCTGTCTGTCGCCCCCCCCCCCCAGGTCCCAAGAAGCTATTTTGATGGCATCATCAGGTACGAAGGTCCGTTTTCTGCTAAACAAATAATTCCCTCAACACTGTTCAACTATTTACAAAGTCTGCATTACTATTACTATTGATCTTCTCATCACTCCTTATCACCCATCCCCTCCCACTTGTGACTGTATGACTGTGACCTTGTCGCTTGTATCCTATTTTTATTGACTGTTTCCTAGTATGATTTGATTGCTTATTTGTACCCCATGACTATCATTGTTGTACCTGATGATTCTTGACAAATGTCTCTTTTCTTTTATGTACACTGAGAGCATTTGCACCAAAGACAAATTCCTTGGGTGTCCAATCACACTTGGCCAATCAAGAATCCATCCAGCCATTCATTTCCCATAATCCCAAAACAGTGTTATTTTTGGCCTGCAGGATTATTTTTACAGCTTTTCCTGGGGACCTGTTGGAGAGGACAATTTACTCCAAGCCACAGAGAGATCCTGTTTTATGAAAATGCAAGCAGAGCAGAGAGAAGTAGCAGCACTTCCTCTCCTCCCCCACCCCCACAGAGACGTTAAATCCAGTAGACCCCCAACCAGACCTCTTACCCCATGCAGCTGGGGGGGGGGGGGGGGGGGGGAAGCTTGTGACTGAACTTATTAGAGAAAAGGGCTACTTCCGTTACTCCTGAACAATTTAATGCTTTGAAGAGCTGAGGAGGTTGGTCGACTGGAGAAAGGTGACCTTTGTCACTCCTCCTAGCACAAGCAGACATTTCGAAAGAGGGCAGCCACACAGTTACAGGGATGGGGACAGTTACTGAGATGGAAGCTAGTCAGCCTCTCAATAGAGCGAAAGAGAAAGGCAGATCATTGGAAAAAATAAAATAAAATAAAGTCATTGCTTCTGTTTTATTTCGCTTCGTGTAACCCCTGTGGTTGCTGACCGTGTCTGCAGCCCCTGGAAAATCCAAGGGCAGCTGACACACAACCACACTTTCACAACCTCCCGCTCCATTTAGAGCTCAGAGGCCGCTTCGGGTTAAGACGTGGGCGTTGGCTGGCGACAACCGTTAGCTTTTCCCCTTCTTCAAATGAAACAAAGCAATGTGCAAGGCTTCGGAAGGGCCTGCAGGAGAAAAAGCAACCTCTACTTACGAGGAGTCAGGGAAGGAGCAACTATAGGAGGCCCAGACAGACGCAGGTCAGGTAGTTAAGTACTCGGAGTAAGTTCGTGGAGTTTGCCTTGAACCCAAGGGCCAAGCGAGAGTCAGAATTCTGGAAAGGGGGGGCTGATAATTAACCAGCGGGACACAGAAGGTGCCTTCAGACAGGGTGGGTGCTCGCTTTTAAGAAGAGTCTAGACAGCCACCTGTCCGAAGTGGTCTAGGGTCTCCTGCTTGAGCAGGGGCTGGGCTAGAAGACCTCCAAGGACCCCCTTCCAGCTCTGTTCTGAGGGAACGATAGCACTTTCCCTGCCAAAGGCTGGAGAAGGTGGTCTGTGAGCCTTGCATGTTCAGCCAGGAGGGCTTAAGGCAGGTTTCACTGTTCGCCCTGCTACTGGGCGAGTCCACCCTGTGTGTTGGGACCGAGCACGGCAACGCAACCGATCCTGGCTCCAGATTATTTGGGAAACAGGGTGGAAGGGAAGTCCAACCACAACCACTTTGCAACCCCCCCCCCCCCGGGTTTGGCGTGTTTTGGGGGCGTCCAGCCAAGTTAAGCTGGCAGATTGTGGCTCTGTGTACTCGGGCAGCAAAGAGCCAAAGGGAACCCAAGCGCAGCCCCCAACCAGGGAGCCAAAAGGGCTGCTTGTCTCTTCAGCCATGGACTCCTGGCATTGCCCCAAGGAAGAGCCCATCCCCTGGCCCGGGGGCTCCTCTGGGAAGGAGGGGAGGGCCCACTGACCTGCTCTGCATGGCCATGATGGAGACTTTGCTTTCTCCCTCACTGGACAACACAAGTTGTACAACACTGCTCTTGCTTTTCAGGCAGGGACGCATAGTTCATTTGTCGCACAATCTCGGCAAAGAGTTCATCCACCATGGTCTTGCTCTTGGCAGAGGTCTCCATGAAGGGGCAGCCCCACTCCTGGGCCAGGGCTCGGCCTTCCGCGGACAAAACCTCCCTCTCCGACTCCAGGTCAACTTTATTCCCCACCAGGATGAGAGGAACCTTCTCGTAGCGCTTCACACGGACTATTTGGTCCCTCATCGGCTTGATGTCCTGGGGAAGAAGGGAAAAGGGGGTCAAAGGGGGCTCTCCAAAATTTGAGGGGCGGTGCAAGAGCAAGGGGAGAGGGGGAGCCTTCACCACGTCTGCAATGACCCAGAGCATGGGTTTTTTTCCCCCTCTCTCCGTAGGTCCCCAAAGACAGTTTAAGGCAGCGATATTTACTCTAAAACATTCCAATAGGAGAGAATATCTGTAGCTCAGGGTTGAACTGAGGGGACCTCGGTGGTCTCTGAGCTGGGTGCTTTTCCTGCAGACGTTTTGTGACCCAGCTAGGGAACATGATCAGTTCTGCTCTCAATATGCAGGTATCTGCCACCCCAAAGAAACCAGTATAAAGCCTCAGGATCACCAGGGCTGAAAGAGAAGAGAGGCTGCTCCACCTGGCCGGGGTTGGACTTTGGGGTTCGTCAACCTCCCCGTCCTGTAGTGGAGGCCACCAGGGCGTCCAGGAAGCAGGCAGGGACCCTTCCTGCCTCCCCCAGAGGCCCAGGAGGTCCCCGAGGCTGGAGCCTTTCCTGCAAGTCTAAGG